ACGCTCGGTTGTGGAAGTGTCACTTCTACAAACGCGAGCTGGAATACCTTGGCCACTTGGTAGGCAATGATGGCCTAAAAGTTGATCCAAAGAAAGTGGCGGCAGTCCAACAGTGGCCCGTTCCACAGGACGTGGGACAGGTCAGATCATTTCTTGGACTCCTCCGTAGTCGCTCCACTGACTGCCCTCACTCGCAAGGGCAATGCTTGGCAGTGGACCGATCAGTGCCAGAAGGCATTTGAGGAGGTGAAAACCATGCTAACCAATGCTCCAGTGCTGGCGTTGCCAGACCCGTCTAAGCCCTACGAGGTAGTAACTGATGCCTCGACAGTAGGGATTGGAGCAGTTCTTTTGCAAGAAGGACGCCCCGTGGCATTTGAGAGTAGAAAGCTTTCCCCGGCTGAGCAGCGCTACACAACTTCCGAACAGGAATTGTTGGCGGTTGTGCATGCGCTACGCACATGGAGATGTTATCTCGAAGGTGTCGACTTCGTGGTCACGACCGATCACTGTCCGAACACCTATTTTGCCACTCAAGCCACACTCACCCGCCGTCAAGCTCGATGGGCTGAACTCCTCAGTGGGTTCACCTATGATATTCGATATCGAGCGGGCTCGACGAACATGGCTGATCCTCTGAGCAGACAGCCGATTGGTGCAGCAACGGGTGTTGAGGATAATTAACACGAAGCAACATCCTTGCTGCTGCTCGAGTGAGCGAGATTGCCTTTGGTGGTTTTCTGAAACGCATCCGCGCAGGGTATAATATTGACCCTTGGTTTCAGAACCCACAGAATACAAACAATCTCTTGTGGGAGCATGAGCTCTGGTGGCACAAGAAAGAAATTGTTGTCCCACATGTGGGAAACCTGCGGAATGATATTCTAGCAGAGGTGCACGCCACTAAGTATGGAGGACACCTGGGTGTCAAGAAAACCCGGTGGGCTCTCAGTGATGTATACTGGTGGCCGGGATTGGGCATCGAGGTCCAGCAGTTTGTAACTCGCTGTGACACGTGTGCACGGAACAAGCCAAGCACACAGAAGCCTGGTGGTTTGCTTCAACCACTCGAGATTCCCGATGAACCTTGGGAGAGTGTATCGATGGATTTTATCACCGATCTCCCCAAGACGCGAGATGGTCATACAGCGATACTGGTGTTTGTTGATCGCTTGACCAAGATGGTGCACTTCGTGCCCACGACGACTGACGTGTCTGCGGAGGATACGGCAAAGTTGTTTGTGACGCACGTTTTCCGCTTACACGGTTTGCCTCGTGTGATGGTGTCTGACCGAGACCCGCGCTTCACAAGCCGGTTCTGGCAAGAGGTCATTAAGACACTGGGAACGAAACTCAAGATGTCGTCTGCTTTCCACCCACAAACGGATGGACAGACAGAGCGGACCAACCGCACCCTTGAGCAAATGCTTCGTTCTTTCATAAGCCCAACTCAGGACGATTGGGATGAATTGTTGCCAGTCGTAGAATTCGCTGTGAACAATTCTGTGCATGAAAGCACACATGAGAAACCCTTTGTCCTGAACTGTGGTCGGCACCCCACAACCCCTGCGACGCATGGGATTAAGAACCTCAAAATCCCAGCCGCAAAGGACTTCATTGGAAAACAGCAAGCGGCTTTGAAGTCCGCTCGCCATTGGCTGCAGCTTGCCCAACAGAGGCAAAAGTCCTATGCCGACATGAAACGCCGGGACGTCGTCTTTGCAGTTGGCAACAAAGTATTACTAAGTACGAAGAACATTCGTCTTAAGATCCCGGGAGCACGAAAGCTCTTCCCTCGTTGGATTGGGCCCTTCGAGGTGATAGCGCGGGTTGGTGAGGTCGCATACAGGCTTAAGTTGCCTGCGACACTGCAGATTCACAATGTCTTCCACATGTCTCTGTTGAAGGCAAGTACTTACCGCCACCAACCATCGTTCTCGAGAAGGAACTCTTTTATGAAGTCGAGCGTGTGCTAACTCGCCGTGATCGACAACGCGGCCGCAAAACAGTTCGTGAGTTCCTAATTCAGTGGAAAGGCTATGGGTTGGAACACAACTCATGGGAGCCTGAAGAACACTTGACCGAAGCAGCGGTTCAAGCGTATATGGAAGACCTGGCTCTACGAGCGGGCCCACAACCAGTGGACGGGGTTGACCCTGGTCGTAATGTGGTGCGCCGTGCTCGAAGCACTCGTCCTCAGGGGCACCCTAGGGCAACGGGGACGTTGCCACCTGGGGGGGGAGGAGTGTAACGCATCGACCCCCCTTCTCACCTTGCTCCCTAGCTAACTAACACTCAAGGCATTCGTCGAGATTTCTCTCGATAGAAATTGTGCTACGAGTGAAGGTTGGATTGGGAAAGAAGGGTTGGGTTGGAGAAGAAGGTTGGTTTGGAAATACCAAACCTCAACCAATAGGATTGGAAAATTCCAACCCATCAAAGTTGAGATTGAAGGTTGGATTAACAACCAATCAGAAACTGCCAAACATTTGTTACAATCTACTCTATCCTAAACACAACCATTGAATGGTTCTAAGTTGGGTTTTCCAACCCAACACAATTGCCACATAGGCTCCAAGCCTAGGAACCCTCCCACCATGGAAGCCATGGTTGGGAGAGTTCCCAAAGGGGTGTATTGAGGGGGTTTGAGCTTGGAAGCTCATTCTCAACCTCCCACTCCAACTAACCAAATGGAAATGGGATTGTTTTGCCTAAGTTATTGAGAGCTCTCTCACACAACTCCCTACACAACTTCTTCAAGTGCTATTTGGAGGGGTTAGCTAGAGCTACCATTTTGTACCGGGATTATTATTAAAGCCTTGTAATCTCTACTATAATAGCCTTGGGTGTTACACCCCCTGCATCCCCTCCTTTCCCCTCCTTGCTTCCCCTCTTTTCCCCCCCCTGCTTCCCCTCCTTTTCAACCCTCTTTCCCCTCCTTTCCACCCCTGCTTCCCCTCCTCACCCCCCCTTGCTTCCCCTCCTTTCCCCCTCTGCATTCCCTCCTTTTCCCCCTTTGCTTCCCCTCCTTTTCCTTACCCAATCCCCTCCTTTTCCCCACTTGCTTCCCCTCCTTTCCGCCCCTGCATCCCTTCCTTCCCCTCCCTGTTTCTCCTCCTCTTCCCCACTGCATCCTCTCCTTTTCCCCCCTGCATCCCCTCCCTTCCACCTTGCATCCCCCTTTCCCCTCTGCATCTCCTCCTTCCCCCCCCCCCCCTGCATTTCTTCCTTCCCCTCCTTGTTTCCCCTCCTTTCCCCCCTGTTTCCCCTCTTTCCCCCCCTGCATCCCCTCCTCTTTCCCCCCTGAATCCCCTCCTCCCCACCCCTGCATTTCCTCCTTCCCTTCCCTGTTTCCCCTCCTTTCCCCCCTGTTTCCCCTCCTTTCCCCATTTGTTTCCCCTCCTTCCCCTCCCTGTTTCCCCCCCTTTCTCCCTAGCCAGCCCCTGTATTCCTTCCCCCCTTTGCATCCCCCAAGTTCCCCCTCTCATTTCCATCATTTCCCCCTCTGCTCCACCTCATTTCGGCCGCAGATGAGACCTCACTTACACGAGGCGAGTCAGAATTTTTCCGCCCTTCCCTTCCGTAACATTCACCCCCCTGGCAGTCCCTTCCTACCCTGCCATTCCCCCACGGCCCTTCACTCCCTGCTGCGCTCTTTTCTCCAGTCCCATTCCCTCTTTGCCCTGCCTTTCCCCCACTGCCCTTCCCCCCCTCCCTGCCTTGCCCTCCCTTCTCCTTCAGCTTGCCATCAGTTTCCCCCATGCTTGCCCTCCTCTCCCCTTCAGCATGCTATCATTTTCCCTTGAGCTAGCCCTTTGTTTCCCCCCTTGTGGCCTTGTTCCCGCCTTGTCTTGAGGTCATGCCTCCCCACCCTTCCTTCCGATCTATCTGGCCTTCCACGCCATCTCATGTTTCTACCTTTCCTTATCTTCCTTCCCGTCTTCCCTCCCTTTTTTTTCGCCTTCCCTTCCATGCCTTCCCATCTCCCCTCCCTGCCTTCGCATTTCCCCGCTCTTCCTTCCCATCCCCCCTCCCTACCTTTTCATCTCCTTTCCCATGCTCAAGACACTGGCGTAAGCGCTGCCAGTGGTACAGGCACTGGCAGGGCGTGTGGTGCAGCGAGTGCGGGCGGTGGTAGGGCTGCCCACCAGAGACCCGGCTGCTCAGGTGGGTAATACGGTCATTTCCTCCTCCCCAGTAGACGCTGGCGTATGTGCTGCCAGTGATGCAGGCCCTGGCGGGGCACGTGGTGCGACGAGTCAGAGCGGTGGTGGTGTTGCCCACTTGAGACCTGGCTGCTCAGGTGGGTGTTATGGCGCTGCTGTGCTGCGCGCACACAAACCGCTGCCTTGCACTCGCACTCCCTTGCTCCGCTGTGCTGTTGCGAGTGCGTGTACAGTACAGGTGGGCCAGGGTTGCCACGTGCGTCACTACATGACGCCAGTCCGCCCAATTCATCCCCTTATTTCCTGCTTTTCCCTTCCCTGACCTTCCTTCCATGCCCTCCCCATCCCTGCCCCACCCTTCCCTTCCCTTGCATGCCCTCCTCTTCCCCTTCCTTCACTCTTCCCTTCTGTCCTCTAGTTCTTGTGCATGTGGTGCCATCACTTGCTTGTACGGTATTCAGGGGTTGTTTCTCCTCTTCCGCCTCACGGCACCTACCATTGGGCCTTCACACAATCATTTCTGCCTGCTCTGCTAATTGGCAGTGTGGAAACAGGGCAGCAGGGGAAAGCAGAGGCGCAGCTGTGGTGTGTTTCTTTCGTTCTGTCTTGTGTGTATTGTATGCAAGTTGGTACCGTAGTTTGTTACTACTAGAGATATTCGTCACAAAGCCCACTCTGTGCTGGTCCTACCACCATTTTAGCCGTGCCAATTTTCCTTCCAAATGCATGGACAGCAAAAGTTTTGCATCACATACGGGTAGAAAGAAACATGTTCTCACTCACTAATAGAAGTACCGTACTATTGACACTCTCTCTAGGCTGTGGGCAACAACATTAGATGCTTTGACTTGAGATGATTGGATGAGGCAAGTTGAAGACTGAACGATCTTTAGAGCAGTCAGTCACTGAGATAGACAGAAAAAGGGAGAGAATCCGAGGGTGTGGGAATGGATGATAAGAAAACAGTAATGATAAGGGATGTTAGGACGAGCAAATTGAGATCACTTCCAGCTTCGGTGATGGGGATGCAGGGAAAGGCAAATGGGGAAACATGCAGGGGAGATGGGAATGCAGGGAAAGGTAAATGGGGAAACATGCAGGGGAGATGGGGATGCAGGGAGGGGAGATGGGGATGCAGGGAGGGGAGATGGGGATGCAGGGAGGGGAGATGGGGATGCAGGGGGGAGGGGGGGCAGAGGAGATGGGATGTATGGGACACAAGGGGGCACGAAGATGGAAATACAAGGTCACATCGAAGATAGGACACGCTGACAGTGGAAAAAGCATGGCAGGAGGAGGAGAAGGGCCGGGGTGGTACGGAGAGGGGAGGGAAGGGCCGGGGTGAGAATTGCTTTCTTAGAACTCGTACCCTCCAATTAAGAATAAGTATACTTACCAGGTGTGGCGGGAGGACGGCAGCATTGTGAACATGAGAGCAGAAAAACAGAGCAGCAGCGACCCCAGCAGCGCAAGGCGGATCCCCGCCACTCCACGGCGCCTCTGCTGCAGAACGCCGTTCGCGTGTTGAAATTGACCTGCTCCGCACTCGTGCGCGCGAACCGACCCTCCTTTCCACACAGACTCGGATCACTGCTGCCCCAGTCAGAGACCTGGCTGGTTAGAGAGAGTAGGCGGGACGGGGAAGGGTGAGGAAGAGCGAAAGGGGGAGGGGCGGAGGGAAGGGAGGGAAGGGAGGAAATGGTGAGAAGGGAGGGAAGAGGGGTAGGGAGAGAAGGGAGGGAAGGGAGAGAAGGGAGGGAAGGGCGAGAAGGGAGGGAAGGGGGGGAAGGGAGGGAAGGGGGGGAAGGGAGGGAAGGGAGAGAAGGGAGGGAAGGGAGAGAAGGGAGGGAAGGGAGAGAAGGGAGGGAAGGGCGAGAAGGGAGGGGAAGGGGGGGAAGGGAGGGAAGGGGGGAAGGGAGGGAAGGGAGGAAATGGTGAGAAGGGAGAGAAGGGAGGGAAGGGAGAGAAGGGAGGGAAGGGAGAGAAGGGAGGGAAGGGAGAGAAGGGAGGGAAGGGAGAGAAGGGAGGGAAGGGAGAGAAGGGAGGGAAGGGAGAGAAGGGAGGGAAGGGAGAGAAGGAAGGGGAGGGTGAGAAGGGAGAGAAGGGAGGGAAGGGAGAGAAGGGAGGGAAGGGAGGGAAGGGAGGGTAGGGAGAGAATTGGGGCGTGCAATGGGGAAAATGAGGGTGTGCATGGGGGGAAAGGGCGTGCAAATATGAGGGCGTGCAAGGGAGAAAATGAGGGCGCGCATGGGGGAAAATGAGGGGAGGCGAGAGGAGGCCGCGCGGGGAGGCGAGAGGAGCCCGCGCGGGGAGGCGATAGGAGCGCGCGCGGGGAGGCGAGAGGTTGCCGCGCGGGGAGGCGAGAGGAGCACGCGGGGAGGCGAGAGGAGCACGCGGGGAGGCGAGAGGAGCACGCGCGGAGAGGCGAGAGGAGGCCGCGTGGGGAGGCGATAGGACGCCGCACGGGGAGGCGATAGGAGCGCGCGGGGAGGCGAGAGGAGCACGCGCGGGGAGGCTATAGGAGCGCGCGGGGAGGCGAGAGGAGCACGCGCGGGACAGCGACAGGCGAACGAGAACCGGGAGGCGATAGGAGCGAGCGCGGAACACGCAAAAGACTGCGGAAAGGGGACATCGGGCGCCCAGGAAGGGGAGATCGGACAGCGGGAAGGGGAGCGCGGGCGGCGAGCAGTGGAGATGGGGTGGCGGGAAGCGGAGGTCGGGCGGCGGGATGGTGAGAAGCGAGTGGGGCCTTGATTCCCCCTTCTCACCGCGAAATAATCTAGAGACGCGAAAACGCGTACACCCTCTCGCATACGTCCCACGACTCGGAGAAGCCGCGCGCGGAACGCGACGAGTATGGCATTGTTCCGTCGCGAGGCGAGACCGCGCGTATAGGGATTCGATAACAAAACTCTGTCCGTTCGAGAGCGCGCGAAGTAGGCTTACGACTTGTCTATAACTAGGAAGAGCGCGCTTCTAAAATCGGGTAAGTGGCGAGGCGTGCTCGCGACGTGAGTAGTCTTTCCTAGGCAGCTGAGAGGCAAAACCTCCTTCGCGTCAATCTGTCTCCTTTTGCAAATCCTTAGGATTTGAATATGGCGAGGAGGAGCACTTGTGTAAGGAATTACAATTCCTTACTGTACGCGCATTTTAGCGAGTACAATCCGAACACCACGCGTCAGCCCGGTTCGGCCTACATTTCCGCCCCGAACCACTTCCGAGTCGCCACCGCTCCAATCGCAACACTTTCCGAGCCATCCTAGCCCGAACCCTTCGCCTAGCTAGGATTCTCCTTATAAATTCGCGTCACTTTCATTGTATCGTCATTCAGTAGTCATTCATTCTCGATATTCGTTTTACTGCGCACTCTGCAAGTTCATTCATAACACCTGGTATCAGAGCTACTTTCCTAACCTACCCCGCTTTTTAGATTGTAATACCCCTCGGGGGGGGGACGAGGAAGGATGTCTTGGGGTCCAGGAGTTGCGTAGGCCGGCCAGGAGAACGAGTTAGTTGCTCCTCGCGGCCATAGTTTTACAGGGCACTCCTTCGGCACCGCCAGATCCTTGCCTCGAACGGTCGCGATCGACCGTGACCTCCCTCCCCCCGGGCAACGGACAGCTGAAGCTGTCGCGACTTGAAAACGTGAGTTATTTCCGCTGCGTCGCGACGATTTCGGAGTTATTTCCGTGTGGCAGCTGGCGTCAGCGGATCTGCGTCGGCACCTGCACGAAATTTTCGGAGTCGTCGTCCTGTGCGGCAGTTGGCGTGGTTGTTCGTCAACGTGTACGCGAGAATTTCGGAAGAAGCTACTGTTGAAGAAAAAACAAGGGACAACTGTACGGACTCGCCTGGCGCTAAAGTAATTGCGTCGGGAAAAGTCCGTGACGAGGAGAGACGCCACGACGACTGCCCGACTATTGCGGGAGTCAACTGCCGTCCCGCCCGACCGTTTAAGTGCAGCGGCTTTTACTGCATGGCGGGCGCGTCACCGACGATTTCGGCAGGAGCGCATGTGGACAGACGGGACTTCATACCCGCCGACACTTACGGGCTGCAACGAAAAACCGGAGTGGCTAAATCGCGCTCAATAGGAGTGGGACGCAGGCGGCGAGGGCAATTCGGGCCCATACACCCCGAAGAAATCTTGCATGACGCTGCGTGCCTGGTACTGTTGACAGCTGGCCGGCCGTTTCGAGAGTGGTTTCCCTGTAAGGAACACATTTTCGGGGACAGCTGCAGCAGCCCACGGTTCAACGGCGTTTAAAATACCACCCCGACATTACGGCGGAGAGTGGTAAGGCCGCCGGGACACACGGACAGAAACTGCCCGACGGCTAAGCGGGGGTTGGAGAACGACGAAGGGAGCAGGTTAAAAGCCGGTGGAAACGACCTGCCGCCCTCCGTCGCCCGAACCTCACCATCCCCACCAAGTCTTGGTTCCGGCTCATGCAGCCGACCTGACCTGGCCGAATAACGGGGGTGAACACGTGCCTACCCTGTGCTGGTTAAAGGCACCTGGTTTGGTGCTCGTTCGACAGCTGTACGAAAATACCAAAAAAAAAGTGGAGCTCGCGGCACTGTTCTACTCCGACAAAAGCGGGCTGGGTGAACGGCACGCAAAAAAGTCGGGGAGCTGCGACGAAAACAGCGGTGCAGTCTACGGTTTCCTCCTGACCCGAGCGTCTACTCGGATTGACGGCGCAGCGGCGATGTTGGGACCCGGTACCAGTGAAGCTACGTGGCGTGATAGGCGCGGTGGGCTGCAAAGCGGTTGGGTGCGAGCTTTTTAAATAAAACTGCCCCGACTCCGATAGCATTTGCGCTTTCACCATAGCCGAAATATCGCGCGGGGAACTTCAACCTTATACTTCAACCGGCAGACGCGGGCGCTGGGTGAACGGCGAATTCGCGATATTGTCGGGGAGTCGAAAACACCTAAAAAAAAAAAAGGAGGAGCTTCAAACTATACTTCAACCGGCAGACGCGGACGCTGGGTGAACGGCGGTTTTGCGATATTGTCGGGGAGTCGAAAACAAAAAAAAAAAATGGGAGCAGTCGAAGTTTCAAGACTTACCTGCCGACGACGCGCGATGGGTGGCACATCTGCAAAGCGCCGGTGGGAGAAACGTGATATTTTGTTAAGCAGCATCGGTAAGGGCAGTTCGACAACGGGATTGACGTCGTACAGGCGCGCTAGGCTCCGTGAACGACGGTCTCGGAATAACCCAGGGCAAGTCCCCGGTTCCCGATTATACCCGCATGCTGGGTTCGGGTGAACTGACGGAAACTACTGGTGACCGAGTGGGCGGCTACGTTACGACCGAAATTTTCGGAGGAGAACTACACCTGCAGCCAAGAATTTACGGGGGTTGCGACACCGACATTTACGGAGTTTTACGGAAGAAATTACCGATTTACGGCAGGAAGTGCCGACATTTTCGTGGGATTTCTTGGCGTTTGGTTAAACGCGCGCGACAAGGACGTGAGACAACATCGTGGGGACCACACAGAGTTTTCCAAGGGTACTAACGACATTCGACGAACTGGAGGTGGCAGCAGCAACAGTGGAAGGGGGGAGACAGCTGGAATTTCTTTATCTCTGCCCAGGAATTATCGGCGCATTACGACAAACTCCTCGGCGAGTCTGGACAAACTGCCAGGAGTAGCTGACGTCATCTGACACTGATGAAGTGTTCGACATTTTCGACCGGAGCGACATTCGATTTGGTTACTGCTTTGACAACTATCGTCGACAATCGTATTCGACTTCGCCATCAATCGTCTTCATCGCCGACATTTTCGTACCATCCCGATTTCACTGCCAGAGGATTTCGGGATACAACCGCTCCAACTCTACTAACGACAACCCCGCTCGGCTCGACCTGACCGCGACAAAAGATCTGATTCCAACCACGTCAGGTGCTGCCAGCTGCAACTGCTGAAGATATTGCAAGATTCTGGCGAAATGAAGACAAAAATGTTCAGTTCGAGTAACTTGGATTTTCGACCGCGGTTTTTGGGCTCCATCTACGAGTTCGCACTTGAGATTTTTGGGGCACTTAACACCTGGTGTCGTCACCGTTTTCCCCGCCAGCGCCCCTTCGCCTAGGCATCCGTGCTTTTACGTGCGACTTAACGGCTGGTTTTGTTTGTTTCCTCACCTCGGCGCGGCTGTGAACGTTTTTGTGACAGTTTTCTTGGGAGGGGGGAGAAAGTGCGCTGCACTGTTTTCCTTCGGCGTTTTCTCGGCACGATTTCGGACTTTGTCAGAATGAAACAGCACGACGGACGATGGCGATCACTTCATCAAAATCAATGGTCTCTGCTACATCGCGACTGATCACCGCGTCAGCAGGTTCCCCCACGTTCGCTTCATCATCGACTGTCAGATCGAGTTCAAATTGCATCAACGGCTTCAATTCCAACTTTCAGTTCGTTTTTGTCAGAGCTGTTCGCGTCCATCAGATCGAAACCAGACTTCATCTACGGCCCACATTCCAACCTCCAATTCAATTTGGGCCAGGCCATATGCAGCCGTCAGATCGGGATCTCCCTTCATCGACGGTCTACAATCCAACCTTTTCAATTTTAATTGTCCAAGGAAGTT